GCTCTGGCGATCCTTCCGAGTAGCTGGAAATACAGGTGCGCGCTACCATGCCCAGCTAATTTTTGATTTATTGTAGAGATGAGGTCTCGCTGCCCAGGCGGGTCTCAAACCCACGGGCTCAGGCAATCCACTCACCTCAGCCTCCCAAGGCGTGGGATTACAGGCTGAGCCACCGAGCCCGGCAACGTTTCTTCAATAAATCTTATTTCTCTCACCTCTTTGTGTGTTGCAATTCTTTGTATTTACTCAGATCTCTGAGTTGCCAGCGTGCACCTCTGGCTTGCCGGTTCTGGCGGTGCTGTGCCCCTCTCCGCTGTGCCTCTCGTTCCCCATCCATCCACCCTCACCCTATCCGGACCCCAACATACACTTTATGTCCACAGGTACTCATTTTATAGCATCCACTTGTGAGTGAGAATATCCAGTATTTGACTTTCTGATCCTGGCTTGTTTCACTTAAGGTAATGACCTCCAGTTCCACCCATGTTGCTGCAAAAGACATGATTTCATTCTTCTTTATGGTGAAATAGTATTTCATTGTGTAGATATATCACATTTTCTTGATGCTACCATGGACATTTGGGTTGACGCTGTATCTTTTTTTAAAAATTGAGGGCTAGCTATGTTGCCCAGGCTGGTCTTGAACTCCTGAGCTCAAGTGATGCTCCCACCTTGGCCTTCCAAAGAGCTGGGATCATAGGTGTGAGCTACTGCACCTAGCCCCATATCTCTGCCATCTTTGCTTTGCTATTGTGACTAGTGCTGTGACAAATATTTGAGAACAGGCATCTTTTTTTTCCTATCCCAGTGGGGTTGGATTATCTTCCAGACAAGTCTTTTTTTTTTTTTTAGTTGGAGTCTCACTCCGTTGCCAGACTAGAGTGCAATGGCACACTCGCGGCCACTCCAGCATCAAGCTGCTGGGCTCCGGCGATCCTTCTCCCTCAGCCTTCCAAGTAGCCAGAACTATAGGTGCGCACTACCACATCTGGCTAATTTTTTGATTTCTTGTAGAGACAAGGTCTCACCATGTTGCCCAGGCGGGTCTCAAACCCGCGGGCTCAGGCAGTCCTCTCGCCTCGGCCTCCCAAAGTGCTGGGATGACAGGCTTGAGCCACTGCCCTGGTCCCAGACAAGTCTCTAAGGCACAGAACACAACTCTTTGCAGTAAGGGAGGGGAGTGTGACTGAGGGGTGCCCCTGAAAGGTGTCTGATGCCAAGGTTGCCCACACCTATATGCTCAAGCCCCCCAGAGCCTCAGCTTGGCATGTGAAGCATGTGAGGGTGTCAAAAACAGTCACCATTTGCATGGCGCTTACAATAAGCCATCCACTTTGCTTAATTGATATGCATGGTCTCCTAGAACCCTCACAGAATCCCTATGAAGCGATGCTGCATTCCCATTTTACAGATGACAAAACTGAGGCTTAGTAAACTAAAGTTACCTACTCAGATGACACACACAGAAAGCGGTGGGGACAAGATTCAGTTCCAGGCAATGAGATTGTGAGGTCTGAGTTCCTGATCGACTCAAGCAGTTGCCACCTGAAGTCTCCGTCTGAACTCTTTACCTAGTCTATCGCATTCCTCCAAATGCACAAATCTTCTTGAACTGTGGCACGCCAAAGAGGGGCGACAGCGGTGACAGTGATGACAATAAGAGCCTGCAGCTCCTGCATGACCCATGCTCTTCTCTTCCCACCTTAATGTTCCTAATTTCCATTTCCTCCCACTGATGTTACCTGCCACTTTTACATCTCCATGCCTTTCACAGGCACAGCGTATTCATCTTTATGTTGGGAAATTTAAAAAGTCATCATCAATGAGCATTAGAGGCCACAGGAAAACATCACTGGAATATTTGTAGAATTCAGATGATCTTAATCTACAGGAACTAGACATAAAAAGAAGAAGCTGAGGGTTAGCCCCTCTCCTGTCAAAAGAGATGCCTCCCAGCCTGGGCAGCAGTGAGAACCCATCTCTTAAAAAATAACAAAATTAACTGGGTGTGGCGGCATGCCCATGGTCCCAGTTGCTGAGGAGGCTGAGGCAGGAGGATTGTTTGAGGCCAGGAGTTTGAGGCCACAGTGAGCAGTGTTTGTGCCTCTGCACTCCAGCCTGGACAACAGAGCAAGACCCCCAAAACAAAAAAACAACAACGAACAAAAAAGAAGAAATTCCTTAACCATCACAGACCATCACAGGACAAAGGGTCTCACCTTGCAGCTGAACACATGGTCAGGCTCATGCCCCAGCTCTGCTATTTATTACTGAGATAGCGCTCTGGGCATCACTTCATCTGTACAGAAGTTAGACACGCTTACCTTAAAACCCCACTGACATCCTGAGATTCTCTCAAACTTGCTCCTTTCCTGCTGAGGTCTTGAACTTTTTATGATCACTTTTTTGAGATTTCTGTGAATGCTTCTAGTGGGTTTTCTGGCAGGAGGGGCTGAGAGAGTTGAGAATTCTAAGAGCCCCTTATAGGTGGGGTGAACCAAAGTGCCACGACATTGCCCCTGCTTTCTCTGCTGTAAAGTTCATGGGGTTGGTGGTTGCCCCATGAACGGGAGCTGGAGGTTACTGTTTGTAAGAGTCTTTGCTTCAGCCAGATTAATAAAGCTCCATTCAGCTGGGCTTCAGGATGTCCCCATGTTTTTGCCACACACAAGCCAGCCCGGGGCATTTTAACGTGGGACTCTGAATCAGGAATGGGTTCCCAAGTCCCAGCAGAGGGTCCCGGAAACAGTGCTTGCTGATCTGATTTCAGTGAACTCTACTAACACCCCACCCCTAATCTGGTGTATTCAAAGGTTCCTTTCAGACCACCAGTTCCTTGAGGTAAGGAAGCTATTCCTGGTACGTAGGTTTCAAAGCGAGGATTTCAGAATGACTTTTGAAAAAGGCATTCTGTGTTTTTCTCTACTCTTAGGAGTGCTTACAGCAGGGTCTGGCAAATGGGGAGTGCAAGAGAAATGTTCTTAGGATGTAGATGATAAAACAGTTAGGACGAGAACAAGACAATAGGCAGAACATTGGAAATAAACATTTCGTGAGAGGGATGGAAAGATGCAAGAAATTTATCACTCGACGAAACTCGGGTGGTGAAAGAATATTCTAGAGGCCAGGCACAGTGGCTCATGCCTGTAATCCCAGCACTTTGGGAGGCCGAGGCAGGAGGATTGCCTGAGTCCAGGGGTTTGAGATCAGTTGGACAACTTGGTGAGACCTCATCTCTACAATAAATCAAAAAAAGTTAGCCGGGCGTGGTGGCGCACGCCTGTAGCTCCAGCTACTTGGAAGGCTGAAGCAGAAGGATCACTTGAGTCCAGCAAGTCGAGGCTGCAGTGGCCATGAGCGTACCACTGCCCTCCAGCCTGGGCGACAGAATGAGACTCTGACTCAAAAACAAAAATAAGGTCTAGAGTCTGGGCCTCTGGGACTCTTGAAGATATTTTAGAAAGGCTGATACCTTTAAATAGCACCCACACCCACACACACAATCCCAAATGAAGGTCGTCATAAAAACACACCATATGAAATTCATTATTCTATCTCTTCTAAGCTGATGTATCTTTAATAGCAGGACTTAAGGAAGGAATTTCAGCCAGATCTCAGTATGAAGAAAAGGCATTCTTCTTCCAAACATCTGTTTGATTTTTCTTACAAATATTGTGAAACTTGTAATGAATTGTGATTTCCTCTTTCCTCTGGCCACTAAGATCTCAGTACAAAAATCTAGTTCCTGGGCAGACTGTATAGTAAACATTTTTTGCAGGTTTTATTTTTTCTTATCCTTTTCTTTAACATCCTCAATCATTCATACTTATTCTTATAAGCATCTACAAAATCTTTTCTGGGAAGAGGTAGATATGTACACCAATACCTACAGATGTGCTTATTTGTGGATAGTTCATTCTGGTAAACTGCCACGAATGTCAACCTATGAGTGAGAAACTGTCATATACTCTCTGAACAACTACAACGACTGAACGATTCCAAAGCCGCTGACGCTTTGTGTGAGTGGCGCCTCACAGAGCAGTACTTTTCCATGCGAGAGCCTTGAGCCTTCTGACTTAGAATCACCTAGAGCTTGGGGGAAGCTGATGAAACTGCTGATTGCTGGGTATCACCCTAGACCCACTTAAAAATATTGTAATACCCACCCTGGGGCCTATCCAGGAATGAATAAAAAATACTGTTAGCAAGACGACAAAATAAAAGATCACTGTTCTACTCTTGCAATTTAATTTATTGAGTTTTTAGAAACAGCAGGATAGCCCTAGATTTTATTGTAAATTTTTTTTTAGTCAGAATCTTACTCTGTTGCCCAGGCTGGAGGGCAGTGGTGCGATCACAGCTCACTGCAGTCTCAAATTCCTGGTCTCAAGTGATCTTTCTGCCTTAGTCTTGGAGCAGCTGGAAACACAGGTATGTGCCACCACACCTGGCTAATTTTATTTATTTTTTTGTAGAGACAGGCTCTTACTATGTTGCCTAGGCTGATCACAAATTCCTGGGGCTCCAGAGATCCTCCTGCCTTAGCCTCCGAGTAGCTGGAAATACAGGTACGGGCCACCAAACCTGGCTAAGTTTTTAATTTTTTGTAGAGATGGCAGCGGAGCCTCATTATGTTGCCTAGGCTGATCTCAAATTCCTGAGCTCAATAGATCCTCCCGCCTTGGCCTCTCAAAGCGGAGGTTATAGGCATGGATTATAGGCATGAGCTCCTAGGTTCTTTTTTTTCTTTTTTCTTTTTTTTAAGGATAACAGAGGGCAAGAAGTTGAATATGAGCAGTAATTTTAATTTTCACAGTAGTGAAAGAAGAAAGGTAAGTTCTAACTCAGAATTGATCAAGTGTGAAGATAAAATAGCATGTCTTAATGATAAAAGGGTTTTGATGACACGTCTATCTGAAGCGAAACTGACCCAGGAAAAAGATCCATCAACAGGAACAAAGAAGCAATGAGTGTCCCCTGTTCTTACACACAAAACTTACTGCCATCGGGTTCTATCCTTCAGGGAACTTTTCCTGGAGCTGTCTTCCTCACTGGGCTTATCCTCCCCTTCGGTCTCCAGACTTCGGCTGCAGCTCCTGATGACCTGAAAAATGCTGTTGACAGTGGACTCCTTCTCCGAATTCTTCAAGCCGTTTTGTCCCACGCGTTGTAAGAAATGATCTTGTCCGCTGTAATCTGCTACAAACTACAGGAAAACATATGGAGACGGTGCTACGGCAACTCGATATATCATGTGTCCACATAACCTACTTGGCTAGGGAAGCGAAATCATCATAGTAATAAATAATGGCATGTGTGCCTGTTTTATTGAAAAGAAAACAAGAACCTCCAGGAAAAACATTGCTTCATTTCACCACATGAAATACCAAAACTCACCCTTGTTTCCATTGAGACAACTTTAAACCCTCTAGGAATCAACACTCCACTTTGAATTTAAAACAAAACAAAAAAACAATATCATTTCAGAACTCCCCGAGGAGAAGCTTAACCCCTTTGCAGAGAAGGGCAGGGTTATTTTATCCTTGGGTGAGAATTGAGAAAAACCACGACAAAAGTATACTATTCTGTGGAACCAGATGAAATGACCTGGGTCCAAGGAAAACACCAAGTAAAGGTGATGTTTCGCTTCATTGCTTATAAATCCTACAGTAACACAGTGGTTTCTTGGTGGGTTTTTTTTCCTTCTATTTATAAAAGAAGAGATGGGAGCTCGCTATGTAGCCCAGGCTGGTTTTGAACTCCTGGTCTCAAGCAATCCTCCTGCCTCAGCCTCCCAAAGTGCTGGGATTACAGGTGTGAGCCACCGTGCCTGGCCTCCTTGGTGTTTTTTTTTTTTAAATTGGAGTCTCACTCTGTTGCCCAGGCTGGAGTACAGTGGCACGCTCACAGCCACTGCAGCCTCCACCGCCTGGGCTCAGGTGATCCTTCCAAGTAGTTGGATCTACAGGTGTGTGCCACCATGCCCAGCTAATTTTTCTTGATTTATTGTAGAGATGAGGTCTTACCAAGTTGCCCAGGCTGGTCTCGAACCTCTGGGCTCAGCCTCCCAAAGTGCTGGGATTGTAGGTGTGAGCCACTGCACCTGGCCCCTTGGTGGTTTTTAATTGCTAATCATTTGTACTGTTGCTCAGGAAGCTTCTCTCATCAGAAACGAGAGCTGCATCTGGGCCAAGGGATGTGGCCTAAGACCCAAGAGAGCTGAAGTGGGTGAACCCAGGGAGGATTTCCTTTCCTTGCTTTTTTATCCCAGCTCATGAGACAGAGAGATGCTGGTGGCCAAGGGCTCTCACATCTGCCTGATGCCAGGTGATGCCTTTGTTTCCCAGTGACACAAAGAGGCTGAAGTGAGGAGAGTGTTTCCATGTCCATGAGAAGGGGTGTTCGTGAGCATGTGTGGGGGGGGAGGAGAGAGAGGGAGAGAGACAGAGACAGAGAGAGACAGAGAGACAGAGAGAGAGAGAGAGAGAGAGAGAGAGAGAGAGAAGGTGAGTAGTGGGTTCTCTCACCATCATATGAATGACCCTGGATTTGGGTGGGACTTCCTGGTAAGGGACTTCTCAACCTCTCCAAAAAGCTCTTTCAATTCTAGCCCCTTCTTTCATTTTTTAAAATTTATTTCTACTTATATATGTTTTCGAGTCAGGGCCAAACTCTCTCCCCTAGGTTGGAGTCCAGCGGCATGGATCACGGCTCACTGAAGCCTCGACCTCTTGGGTTCAGGCAATCCTTCTGCCTCAGCCTCCCAGGTAGCTGGGACTACAGGCGTATGCCATCACACTCAGCTAATTTTTAAAGTTTTTTGTAGAGACTAGTTCTAGCTGTGTTGCCCAGACTGGTCTCCAACTCCTGGGCTCAAACAATCCTCCTGCCTCAGTCTCCAAAGTGCTGGGATTACAGGTGTGAACCACCACATCTGGCCAAACTATTTTTTTTTTTTTTGAGTTGGAGTTTCACTCTGTCACCCAGACTGGAGTGCAGTGGCCGCTCCCGGCCACCGCAGCCTCGACCTGCTGGGCTCCGGCGATCCTTCTGCCTCAGCCTTCCGAGTAGCCGGAATTACAGGCACGCGCTACCACGCCCGGATGATTTTTTGATTTATTGTAGAGATGAGGTCTCGCTGCCCAGGTGGGTCTCGAACCCGCCGGCTCAGGCAATCCACTCACCTCAGCCTCCCAAAGGCATGGGATTACAGGCTGAGCCACCGAGCCCGGCTTCGGCCAAACTTTTGAACACCTTAGAGAGAAGTTTCCTTAGCTCTTCCCTGCAGTTTTTCAATGCCCCTTCCCTCCTTGTCTAATGTCCCGGGTCAAAGTTCATACCATGCTTCCCACTCTGGGAGTTGGAGAGCGAAGCAATAGACGTGAGAGAATTGAGGCACCTTTGATCAGGAGCCTGGAGCTCATCTTTACTTATTTAATTAATTCATTCATTTATTACAGATAGGGTCTCACTCCATTGCCCAAGCTGGAGTGCAGTGGTGTAATTAACTATAGCTCACTGCAGCCTCAATTTCTGGGCTCCTCCCTCAGCCTCCTGAGTAGTGGGACTTACAGGTACATGCCACCATGCCTGGCTAATTTTAAAACTTTTTTTTCCCGCAAATACGGGATCTCGCTATGTTGCCCATGCTGTCCTTGAATGTCTGGCCTCAAGTGATCCTCCTACCTCGACCTCCCAAAGTGCTAGGATTACAGGTGTGATCCACCGCGTGCCTGGCCAGAACTTTCTTTAGACGAGGCTCCGACGTCCCCATAAAACCTGAAAAGAAGGCAGCGTCGACTTCCCCCCTTCCCTCTTTCCTGGTGTGGAAAAGTTAATGTTGTCATTTGGCTTTCTTTGTTCCCTGGCCCCAGATATTTCCACCCAATAAGACAAACCTGTCAGAAAAGTTAGAAACAACACCCTTTTCATCTGTACCTACACAGTATGCCTAAATTAAGCCTCTAGCCGTGCCAGTCGGTGTTCTTCTCTCCAGAACTTTCACAGACCTTTGTGCTACCCAGGAAAAGCGTAACTGTGAAACCTGGGCTCCGTTAGTGACCGCTTCTCCCATCAGTGAGTACAGACAGGGCCTGATGACACAGGGGGAGGGGTGGGGGAACAATTGTGAGTCCTCGGACCCTGAGGATTGGGAATGGCCTCACCTCTAACGTCTCTTCTTGGGCATTGTATCGTGGGCAGATTTTCATGAGGCCCGAGGCGCCGTCAAGCGCTTCGCAGAGCTCCTTCAGAAAGACCCCGCAGAAGGGAACCACCTTGCAGCCAGGGATGTGCAGGGCCCGCGTCACCACCTTCCTGTACTCGCAGGACGACTCATGCTGGGCCATCGCGTCCTTCAGGCTCCTCATGGTCTCGATGTCAGACTGGTCCATAAACTGCCACATCTTTAAGACTTTTCTTGACCTGTTGCGGGCAAATGACACTTTAAAAATATTAATTACTTTGGGGAGTAGAGACAGGGTCTCATTCTGTGGCCCAGTCTGGTCTCGAACTCCTGGCCTCAAGCGTTCCTCCTACCTCAGCCTCCCAAAGTACTGAGATGACAGGCATGACACGCTGTGCCTTGCAACATTTTTCAGATGGAAGGAGACATAATATAGTTTACAGCAATAGTCTAAATGTCATACAAATACGTTCTTTTTATATTCTTTTTTTTTTTTGAGTTGGAGTCTCACTCTGTCACCCAGGCTGGAGTGCAGTGACACACTCACGGCTACCCCAGTGTTGACCTGCTGGGCTCCAGCAATCTTTCTACCTCAGCCTTCCAAGTAGTCGGAACTACAGGCGCACGCTACCACGTCTGGTTAATTTTTTGATTTATCGTAGAAACGAGGTCTCGCCAAGTTGCCCGGGCTGGTCTAGAACCCACGGGCTCAGGCAATCCACTCGCCTCGGCCTCCCAAAGTGCTGGGATTGCAGACTGAGGCCGGACTCTTTTTACCTAAGTGTCCTTTGCTTGTTAGTATTTATTTAGGATTCCTATCTCCACCTACTTTTCCAAATAATATAACTCTTGTAAATTACAACATAAAATTAAATAGGTCAGACAAACAAAAACAGGCATTTGCGATGAGTTAATGGACTCTGGCTATGGCACAGAGGCTTGAGGTTTTTTGGCAGTTGTGACTGAAAGGGGAACGTGGTGGGTAGCAGGGCTTGTCCAGATACTGATGGGTGATTGTGGAAAACCTGACCCATCCACTCCTCTCAATCTTCTCAATATTATCCTTGGATTAAGCCAGTCCCTTCGAGAAGCCTGCTGTTTTGGCCTCTTTAGTTGAATTGCTTTTCACGGAATCAAACATTGACATGAGGTCACTCATGTCCCATTTGGGGGGGACCTTGATCTTGTCTTAAAGTATCATTTGCGTAATGAGATGCGTGTTTTTTTAGATTGGAAAATAGAATTATTTGGCAATTGGAAAGAGAGAAGAGATTCACTTCCCCAAGGTAGGGGAGGGGGCCAAAGCTAGGAAAATATGGCGACCGTGGCTCAAAGAACCACGTAGTCAACCCAGAATTTAGTAAAGCGATGGCTGCACGATGACATGTTAAATGGAACTTTCCCGGTTCTGAAACTCCTGCTGAGATCCCTGTCCCACACCTTCTGAAGAGAGGTGTCAGGCCGTCATAAGTAGGTGTCCACTGCACTGCCCTCCCTGGTCTCCCACCCTCCTTCCGCCCAGGAAGGGGAACGGGATCTTCGAAGAAATTTATTTAGAGAGAGTTGCAGGAGGGACATGTGTGAGAAAAAGGAGAATCACCCCGGGGGCAAGGGGAGAGTGAACTCCATGGAGACGCTGACCTGTGTCCTGGGCAGTCTGTGCCTCTCACGGACAGGTGTGTGACTCTTGCCTATGGATGAGGGGCTGGCTGGAGCTGCCTGATGACAAAGAGGGGGAGAAGCTTCCAGTGGACTGTCCTGAATTTGCAGAGCTGGGGGTGGGGTGGGGCCAGGCGTTGAGTGTTTCCTGGGGCTTAGGAGTGGGCGCTGTGGATTGAGGCATTAGACCTGGGCTCTCTCAGAAGGCTGCATACCTGAAGTTGAGACTCTAGCAGAGAGAGCCTGGGAGGCCAGGGCCTCCAAGCTGGCCCCTGGGGAGTGAGGACTGAATGTCTGACTGCAGGTTATGCTGCATTTTTCAGTTAACGGTGCAGTGGGGTATGGGGGAAGGTGGAAAACAGGGGGAGTGGCTAGGAGTATTGGAACACCCTCCCTGCTCACCTGATCTGGCCCCCAATGACTTTTTTTTTTTTTTTTTTGAGTTGGATTCTCACTCTGTCACCCAGACTGGAGTGCAGTGGCCGCTCCCGGTCACCGCAGCTTCGACCTGCTGGGCTCCGGCGATCCTTCCGCATCAGCCTTCCAAGTAGCTGGAGCTCCAGGCGTGTGCTACCACGCCTGGCTAATTTTTGATTTATTGTAGAGATGAGGTCTCGCCAAGTTGCCCAGGCGGGTCTCGAACCTGCAGGCTCAGGCAATCCACTCACCTCAGCCTCCCAAAGGCGTGGGATTACAGGCTGAGCCACCGAGCCCGGCTCTGTCTACTTTTTCTGCAGGAACTTTGAGTTGGAAGAAAGAGGGTAAAAAAAGATACGAGGGGGACCCTAAAAAAAGCAGAATTATCTTTGGGAGGGCAGGCCCCTTGTAGTCCAGGCTTCTCCAGCTGCGTAAGTGTTCTAGGAAGCCATCAGCATCAGCGTACCAGGTAGCATTTGCTGTGAGAGGCTGCGTTCGGCTTCAGTGAATTTTCTTTTTTTTTTTTTTTTGGAGATTCTTTCAACGCGTTTGCCCATTTCAGGATGGGTGATTTACGAGTGCACCTGCCCACCCCACGCTGAGTATTCAGCGGTTTTTGATCAAAAACAGCATGACCATTGTTCCCCACCCGCCCATTCACCCAATTTCGCCCCGAGCAACCTTTTTTTGGTGGTCTTCTGGATGAAAAAGAGTCCTCAAAGGAAACGCTTTGGCAACGTGAAAGAGGTGACACGAAAAATGGCAGAGGCACTAAAGGCATCAAAATTGATGAGTTCAAAAACTGTTTTGAGCAGTGAAAAAGCATCTCAAGAGGTGTATTGCATCAGACAGAGAGTACTTTGAAGGTGATCGAACATGTAAGAATAAGCACATACTTTTTCATAAATAAATTTTGGGGTGTTTTGGGCCCCCTTGTACAATTTATTTTTCCACTTTTGCCCATCTATCAGGAACGATCAGTTTCATTTAAAACTGAATATAGGAACAAGAAACTGGGCGGCAGAGAGTTTGGGATATAAGACAAAACGTGCAGGGGCTAGTGTTGACATCCAGCCTGGTATGAGGTGACTCTTCGTCCTAGGGCATCCCCTGGCTCTCTGGCCTTCTTGGATGTTGAACTTCAGCTAAGTTGGATCTGAAAGTCCCCTTCATCCTAGGCCTCCGCAGGCCATCCTGAGGTCATTCTTGTATCAAGAGAATCCAGCAGCCTCCCAGATGGCCTCCGATGGGCCACACCTTCTGGTACTATGACTTTATGTCATCCCCACCACAAGGAACTGTCGCTGGCCCTCTGTGACTGGCACACTATGGCGACGTGACAGCCTGCAATCGCAATTCCTGAGGCTAGGGCATAAAAGTGTTGCAGGTTCTGCCTCACCGTCCTGGATCGTTCGCTGTGGAAGGAACCAGCCACCGTGCTGTCAGGATAGCCACGTCCATGGGGACAGAAAGTGAAGTCCCTGGCCAACAGCCAGCACCAGCTTGCCAGGTAAATGCAGAATGATAAGCATAATCAAAAGAGAGTGATTTTAAAAATCATACTATGACCTTTCTTCTCTTTCAAAAAAAGGTAACAAGGGGTTTTTTTTTTTGAAAATTTGTCACAAAGAGAAATCAATCATCTCCTGTTCTCCAAGAGGTTTTCTTTTCTTTTCTTTTCTTTTTTCTATTTTTTTCTTTCTTTTGAGCCATGCCTGGTGCATTTGCGTGGCTATTTTCAATGTCAATGACACGATCATTTGAGTTCATCCTTAGTTAAGAAAGCCCAGAAGGACAAAGAAAAAATTCTAACTCTGGGGGTTTTCATTTCTCCCCCAACCCAGAACCGCTAAGAAGGAACCTTGAGAATCAAAGAAAAAAAATCCAGATAATGTTTTGAAGTAAGATTCATGACAGTGGATCTCAGGAAACCCTAACAACAGCAAGAGTTTTGCTCTCTGGGGCCTTAGTATAAGCCGAACACTTTCTATTATTTCACTGAATCCTACCTAAGGAGGCCGGTGCTTTTTGGTATCATCTCATTCTACAGATGAAGAAACTGAGGGTCAGGGAGGTCAAGCAACTTGCCCAGAAACCACAGCTATTCCGTGGGTGAGTCAGGATTCGATTCCCTACTACTTGAACTCCATAACTCACGTTCTTCTTTCTCACACCCCATGCTGCCTCCCCCATGTGTGAAATCAGTTACCTCATGCCAGGTAATTGAGGCTGAGAAGGGGTAAGGTGAGAGATTTTACCCACACCATGGCGATGTTGTTCCTAGCTCAATGGGTAAGGTCTAAGGGCAGGATACCACAGGGTCAAGATCACGGGCGCTGCCATCAAAGCTGCCTGCACTCCCAGCCATGCCAGGCGACCTTGGGTGAATGACTTTACTCCTCTCAAACGTAGCTTCCTCTTTTGTATGATGTGGGAATAATCATAGTATCTATCTCAAAAATCTGTTTTGAGAACTAAAAAAGACACCATGCAGGGATCATGCTTAGCCCAACGCTTGACAACACAGTAAGTGTCCTGCATTGTGTGATGAGTACTCACGTCACTGGACACCTACTGTCCATGCTGGCTACCGTTGTGACTAAGTACAGTTGGTAGTCAGGAGCTGACAGCGCTGGAGAAATTCATAAGGCAGAGGTGGGAAGGGACAGATAACAGCAGGACTTACAGGGCAGGAAGGGAAGAAGAGAGGTCAGCAGTGGGGCTGAGGGGGCCATGCCACCAGGTGACCTCACTCAGCTTGGCCAGCAGCATGGCCTCTGAGTAAGCACCATGAAGCAGGATCGTGACTGGCCCACGGGGACTGAGTCCTGCAGAATCTTGAGACGCAGGGCTTTTGCCACTGGAACAAGCTAACACATTTCCCAAGGTGATCACTACCCACTGCCTGGCTGGGGTCAATATGGCCCCCTGGGCGAGTCACTCAGTGCCACTCAGCTGGCGAGCTGGTCCCCGCTGACGGTACCTGAGGCCGGCCAAGAACTCCATGACGGTGTTGTAGTTGCCCATGTTCCAGCAGCATTTGGCCACGTGCACCAAATATGAGAAGACTTCCCGCTTCTCCTCCATGGAGCCCGCCGTGAGGATCAGCCACGTCACCCAGGAGCTCACCTGGAAAACAGAGGGGCGTTCATGGGACTGTGTCCTGGGAGCTCGATCCTTATTATTATTATTTTTTGTCTATTTTTGTTTGTTTTGAGTTGGAATCTCGCTCCGTCACCCAGGCTGGAATGCAGTGGCAGCCTCGACCTGCTGGGCTCCGGTGGTCCTTCTGCCTCAGCCTTCCAAGTAGCCAGAACTACAGGTGCGCACCACCATGCCCAGCTAAATTTTTAGTTATTGTAGAGACAAGGTCTCGCCAAGTTGTCCAGGCTGGTCTCGAACTCAAGGCCTCAGGCTATCCACTCGCCTCGGCATCCCAAAGTGCTGGGATTACAGGCTGGGCCACTGAGCCCAGCCTATTTTTTTTTTTTTTTAAAGAAAACTGTTGTTTTTCTAAAAAATCAATTTGGCATTAGGCAATGAAGTACCTAGTTGAGAGTTCTGAAGGGAAACTCTAGACCCATCACTGCTTAGATACAAGACCCGGGCAAGGTCACTTAATCTCTCTGCCTCTCTTCATCTTCATTTTTAAAATAAGGAGGTCCATAAAGAACAAAATCATGGCCTTCACAGCAACTTGGATGCAGCTGGAGACCATCATACTAAGGGAACTATCACAAAACAAAGAACTGAATACTGCAGGCTCTCAGTCATAAGCGGGCCCCGAATGCTGGGCACACGAGCACAAGGGGAGATGGACAGACGCTGGACACTGCTGTTGGGGGGAACATGCTGGGTATCTGGTCCACTGTCTGGGGAGAGAAACCAGCTCGAAGTCCGACGGCACCTGCATGCAGCCTACTTATGTAGCAAATTCCCACCTGTGTCCCTCAACTCTAAAATAAAAAATAAAACAAAATAAGGAAGCTGAAAAGGGCAATTCATAAAGTCTTTTTGACCAAAACAACTCCATGAGACTATAAGAAAATAAGGCCTGAGGATAATTTTGACTGAAATACATCTGACGGATGGACATCAAAATTAAGTGAAATCAATGCAGTTAACCCATAAGTTGAAGACATCGATTCAATAGTACAGTATATAATATCGAATAAGCCGGGCTTGGTGGCTCAGCCTGTAATCCCGCGCCTTTGGGAGGCTGAGGTGAGCGGATCGCCTGAGCCCGCGGGTTCGAGACCC